TATATATATATATAAACGTGTAGATAAACTATCCCGTATGTAAAGTTTCTCTCGATTTATGGAGCAGCTCATCGAAAGGGAAAGAGAACGTTGTAATGTCAGTAGAACACCTTATGAAATCCGCCATACTTTTTTAAAAAATTACTTCCCCTCCAGAGGAGCAACAGAGTGATGAAAAAATCCAGTTCAAAGAAGCAGCGAACAAAGCAAACAAACACACACACAGACATTGTATCTCTCTCTGTCAATCCATCTCACTCACCTACACACACACAGAACGTGAATCTGGAATGCATAAGCGGAGACACAACCAGTGGGGAAAAAAAAAAACACAAAGAAAAGCGGTATGCGGTGACAGCAATGCACCCCACTCCCAGCTTACTTTACATTCTTTACACAGTGATACATCACAAACCCACTTGGAGTCATCTCCGAGGAGCGAACTGTGTGGATAGGCAGTGATGGAACGGCATATGGAATGGGCCTTGCTGTCACCTTTGTAGGAGTAGCACCTTTTGTATGAAGCTCTGGCACAAGGGCGAGTTGCTCCGTGCTCGAAACATCCACTCCGTTCCCCCTTCCCTCGTCCTGCCTAGCGCGATGCATAATGAACGCTGCTTCCCCGTTGAGCACCATCACACGGAGATACCGCCAACGTATAATCGCTCGCTGGCGTTTCGATTCCTGTGAACCATCTTCAAAACGTGCCAGTGCAGCCTCCATAAGGAGGTAGGCAGTGGCTCCACCAATATCCGTCACGTTCCCTAGTGATGCCCGCTGAAACACTGTTGATGGAAGTCGTTGAACCTCTGGGTTGCGTTTTACTGCCATGCGCAGGCGCCCTATCGTATCCAACGTTTCGCCAGGAAGCAAAAAGGGCGACTTGTTATAATACGACGCTCTTCGAACCTCCCATTTGCTTAAACCAAAGACTTCCAAGTTTTTGTCAAGAAAGAAATCCTTTGGCTTCTGTGGATGGAGCGATGTCCTCGCCGTCGACGTCTGTTTGGTCTTTGTTTCACCCGAATCCCTGGAGACATCAGACCCTGTATCGGAAGAGTCGTCACCTTCAGCTTCTGCACCCGATAGTTTCTTTAGATGCCGTCCCTTTCTGTTGTTTCGGCGTGCTGCCCTTTCCTCTTCCCTCGCCGCTGCTATATGTGTTGCAATCCACTGTCGAGTTTCAGAATAAAAGTTCTCCGCCCATGTTTTGACATCTGCCTCCTTCTCCATAACGGCAACAGGGCACACAGAGTCTGGAAGGAGTTTGTCGCTATGTACAGCACTCCGAGGGTGATAAAGGACTGCAAAACGATTTACATTCTTGGCGTTTCGTGTCGTTGGAAGAATGGGCAGCAAAGTGGGGTCACTGTTAGTGTGACGCAGCCGTCCAAGCATAATGTTGGAGTCAACATCATCCTCAATAGTGGGTATTGACTCCTTCTTCTGTGTGCCGTCCGCAATGAGACGACTGAGTTCGCCCTCAGAATCGCTGTGCTCATCCCATAACGAAGTTGACTGCTCCGCGCTGGTGGAAGTTTGCCAAAACGGTGAAATAGTCATTGTTGTCTCACTCTCAGAAAAGGCGACGAAGGAGTCAATGTTACTAGGTGAAGAGACTACAGTCTTCTTTAATATGGGTGTAAATAAAAGCATGACGTAATCCTCAGGAGACATCCCACCGTGCATAACGATGAGTTTGTGGCCTGAGTGCTGTCGCCGAGCGCCTGAGGGATCAATCGCTACAAATGCGTACTTGTGCTGAAAACGGGAGACACCACCCACAGAGTAAAGCGGTAAGAGATGTTTCTTCCCGCTCGAGGTTTTGGGTTTGCGTTGACTGGCAGCACTTTGCCGCTCCGGTTGTCCAGTATGTTTTGACATCTTGCGTGCCATGAGTTCTGCAATGACCCGTTTGGGAAATTTTGTAGGAACAATAGACCACGTCATGTCCCGCAGTTGAAGCTTGAAAAAACCGTAAGTGGTGCTCTTTGATTTAGTCTTTGGCCTTGCTCTCGAATCCGTAGTTGATATAGAGGAGCTTCTGTCGGCCCTCCGCCGCCCGAGACAATTCTCAATGGGGGCCAGCAAAAGCGGAAAGTACCACTCCTGGCGTTTATCGTCGTAGGCGCCACCCATACTGATGACTTCACGGATGAAGTACTCCCACACACCGCTAATTCGGAATGGAATAGGAGTTTCTGGAGAGGCCGGTGTGTTGACCTCCACCCACACACCCGAATGTACATTCATCATATGTACTGTAGGTACGTCGCACGATGGGGAAGTCAGCACATCCTTTTCCACCATGCCAATAACAATGAGGGACGTTGTAGGGTTGTGATATGCAGCAGTACACATCTGAAGATGATGTGGGTTTACCGAATCTGGCCCGCGAATACCATTCCACACGCGGTGGTGGATATCATAAGAGTGGGCAACGTACATGTTGTGCTGTCGTTGGTGAAACCCACCAATGATGATCATTGTTTGTGTAGGCGGTACATACACGGCCGCATGCGAGAAGACAGGACCAGGACCCTGCGCCTGGTCGTAATTCACCTTCTCCCACCGCATTGTTTCAAGACTTAGAATGTATAGGTCATCAAACACCTCCAAATTTCGATGACCTCCAAACACTATCATCTTGCTATCATGCACTAGTGCTGTGTGATTGGCGCGCCCCGACGGCACTACACCCACACCCCGTATCTCTCTCCATTGCAGAGTCATCTTGACATTACAAAATATACTGGTCGAATACGAATTCTTCAGGCCATATCCCCCATATAAGTACAGGTCGTGTTTGTAGACCACAATCGTATGACCAACCCGCTGCAGGCCATTGTTTAACTCTGGCAAAATACCACCACGAAACGCCACCAACTCTGTGGTCTCATCCTGACCATTTCGTTGCTCCACTGATGCAGCACCCCACCCCTTGGTCATACCAGAGAGGGAGGAGTCAAGCGTATGTCTAATGGTATATTGAGTTCTTCCTTCCTTCTTGTTTTCCCTTCTCGTTCCTTTTCCCCCTCTCTCTCTCTCGCCGAGGCCCACACCTATGGTCGCGGTGTACTTTCTTCACACACACACACACACACACAGACAGACACACACAGCGAGAAAGAAAAGGAAACAGAAAAAAAGATGAGGGAGAGAGAAGACAAAAAGTGAGAGGCAATCACAGTTCAAAAATATTTTGCCAAACAAAAAAAGAGCATGCGTCTCAACTCGGATAATGTGTGTGTATCTTATTTTTGGAATTGGGGGGAGCCACTACGCCCTGCTCATCACCGCGTAGTGTCGAACCAGAAACACATCTTCAGCATGAACGTGAAGGGCAGGACAGGAGTGGACACGGCCTCGATAAGCTCCACCTCTTCGGCACGTGTTTCGGTGCCGTTGGGCGCAACCTTATTGAGAGCCTCAATCGCTTTCTGGACAAACACTTCAGAACCGGAGGAGGACACCACATTCTGGGATGCGAGCTTGCGCAACGGCTCTGACCCATCTAAGGCGAGCTGAAGCTCACGGTGGAGGCCAACAACATACCGCATTTTCGACTTTGTCATCACAAGCTCAAAAAGCGCCATTTCCTTCTCGGATGGTGAAAGAGGAGCGCCACTGCTCTCCATTCGGCGAACAAGAACCTCAAACTCTTCCGCTGCCACCGCCCCCACGTCCCCGTTAGCGCCCTTCTCCAGCAATTCCATCATCTCAGGCGCCTCACCACGCACAATTAGATTGCAGTGCTTCAGCACGTGGAGACGCCCGTCGTGGTTTACCGCACGCGTATTGCCCCCTTCGTGCAGCGCACTATGCAAGTCCTCTGGTGTTATACCGAGTCGCTGCGCGGTGGAAAGCAAAACACGCCCAATGCCCTTCTTCTGTGCCTCCCATCGTGCCTTTTCACGCGTCAAGTACTCGTCGAGGAGGGACATCCGCTCCTTTTCGTGCTGCTCCGCCTGCGCGCTCAGAGAGTTCAACGGATTCTCCACGTGATCGCCATTAGGCAGCGTCATTTCAAAGGCAGTCTCGAGCAATGTCACACGAAGGGCACTCGGCTGCTTCCAGAAAGGCAACTCCACACTCACGGGGGACTCAATTTCGGCGCCACATGCAGACCGACCACAATCCTCAATGAAGGCCTCTGCAGCTTTGTCTCCGTTCTTAGCGAGCATACTTCGACGTGTCTGCTCAACTGAGAGCTCAATATCATCTGGCCCCACTTCGGGGACATATTCACCACTAGTTGAACTGGAAGCACCTATAGATAAATCAGGTGTCGTGTTCTTCCCTGTTGTATCGGCGTCTTCTTTAGACTGCTGCACCACACGCCTCACGGTTTGTGCCAGCACAGAGGCGACGTCAGCCGCCCCTTCCGCGTCACCGTTCGCGATGCATATCGTCAGCTCACGGTGCAACCGCAGCGCTGAGGGGTGAGAACGGAAAACACCCGTCAGCGTTGCCATTGGGTCCCACTTACCCTGCACCACATGCGGTGCCTCAGTCCTGCTGGAAGTCGCTGATGGTACTGTTTTTGTGGCGATAGTCGCTCCGCTCTCCTGTGAGCATCCACAGCACGGCTGCATCATCGCCCCAGTCCCGCACGCCCAATGCCTCCACGGAGGCCTCACAAAAGCGTAGGCGCGTGCCGCACGCCGCATCGCACCACGCCCGACCCACGCTGCGTCCTATATACAGATGCAAGAGAAAAAACAACAACAACAAAGGAATGGAACGGAAAGGCAAGCAAAAAAAAAAAAAANAAAAAAAAAAAAAACGTTATCAAGCGTATTCTTGAATTGCTACGCCGATGTGTCACACAGTGCAGAGGTGCCCTGCTGCCCAATACAGGTGTCACCTGTAAAGGACAGTTCCATGGGGATGGGTTAATAAGGAGGTGATAGTATACAAAAATCATTCGGCCCTTTGCTGTTCTGTTGGTGGAAAAACTGTGCAGCAGCTACATTAGCATTGCTACAGGACGCGTAGCAGATTACTGTTATCACATACACACACGCGACGAGACTCTTTCCACTCGCCTTCCCCCAACAAGCCAAAAAAGAAGAAAGAAAAAAAAANAAAAAAAAAAAACACAATTTGTCTGCAATTCTCTCTTTGTAATTCCCTTCACACAGCCAATGAGGCCATGTAACGCTCTGCTAAGGACGGGTCTAATTCTACGCGACGACGAAAATGGTGGTCTTCTTTTAGCTTGCTCTTCAGAAAGGCAAGCTTCTTAGCCTTCGCGGCTTCCTCAACGAGCGCTTTCTGCCGCTCGCGCTGCTTCACGGCCTTCACGTAGAGCTGCTCGCATGCTCGCTTCTGCGTACGCGAAAATGAGCGGGGTGGCGACATCACCTGCGACGTATCGGAACTGTCTTTCCGCTGTCGGGCCGCTGATGCCTTCGTGGACCTCGTGTGGCTCTTCACTCCTGCAGCACCTCGNAAAGTGAAGCGGTTATTTGTCTTGGGATGGAACGTGCACTCCTTCAGCTCCATCTCTTCCTTCTTCTGTGCTAGCTTTGCTGCATTGATGCGCCCCTGCCGCGAGAGGCGCCATGCGAGTAGTTCCTCCTTCTTCTTTGTCAGTTGATTCTCTTGGAGAAACTCCCGCAGACGATCTGGGCTCTGCACAAGTTTTCGGCGAATACTGGTGGCACGTTCCTCCATCTGCTGCGGTGTATACAGCCGCTGCGGGGAACTCTTAAGCTCCAGGCGGGCAAGAATGCGGGAGTGAAGGAGTTCCTCTACCGCTTTCTGTTCCCGCTCTGATTCCGCCAGTCGCATTCGCTCGCGCTTTTGTATCATGGACTCAACAGCGTCATTGTAAAGCCGGTGAAAGAAGCCATCATCGGCAATGTACGTACTGCGATGGCCAGAAGCATCCCCGCCACGGCCACTATTAGGTATGCTCTGGCGGCTGTTGTTGAGACGTGGGGGTGTAACGTAATAGAGGCGTTCAAATACCTCCTCGCGGCGCCGTGCGGACTCCTGCCGGCGTTGACGACGCCGCAACTCCTCCTCATCATCTTCGGCCAGCAGCCGCTCCTTCGCCTCCTCCAACTTCATAAAGTGCAGGAGCCGGCAGCGGCGTTCATCTCGGTCGCGGCGATTGTTCATGTGATATAACCGCTCAAACGGGTCGCGGAGCATGGCATCCTCCATTACCAGGTCATTCAACTCCACCTCGTCGCGCACGGCTTCAATCTCCTCGTCCAGCATCTCCAGTAATTCCTCCCTCCGCTCATGGCGACCTCGCAACGGTGATTCCAGCAAGCGATGCTGCTTGTAGCGCTCCAACGCTGGGCTCGTACCAGGCGCAGCGCGGAGTGGTGTCGCATGTTGTTGACGGAGAAGAGAATTGCCGGTGAATTTACGCGGCGTTGCAGGTGCGCCCCCGCGTCGAGGCGACACGACTGCTTTTTGCATGCGCAACCCCATCTCATCATGCACCGAGTTACGTTCCGAGCAGGAGGAGCGCGTTGATACCGGGGCGCTCGACAGCTGTAGCCGTCCATGGGCCTTCCCTATCCTGGTACTGCGCCGTTGCGGCAGCCGTCCAGAGCTGCTACTCCTGCTATCCTGAATACTTCCTCTTTGCTCCTTCCCATAGCCGAAAAATGAATTTCGACTTCCATTGTAGGTGTGTGACGACGGTGATGTCATTTTCCCATTACGAGGGTCTCGCCCACTGCCGTTATTAATCACAGAGCTGTTATAGCTGGTATGCCTCCGCTGCTGACTGCCATCCTCCGAAGGGGGATGGCTCGCCCCTGTATGGCGCTTGAACGTGGTGGTGGTGGCGGTGGATGCTGGCGCCAATTGTTCGGAGCCCCGCGATTCATTAAGACACCATCCACCGACATCAGTGCCGTCGTTTGCCACCTCCCTCACTTCACCCGTTGGCAAAGCAGGGACATTACTCCCGTCCTTTGCATGAGGGTTGTGGGTAGCGTAAGCACCGTTCTGTGAACGACTGCCGCTGGCTTCGCGGAATGTCAAGGCAGAAGGATTCTGCACAAACTGAATACTGCTTTGTGTTGGTGAACCAGACGCACGTGAGGGCGTTTCGAAAAGCAGAAACTTGATGGATGACGCATCATCATCATCGTTGGTGCCCTCATCCTCACAGCCAACAGCATTTCCGAGGGTAGCTGAATTCTTCCCACCCTCCCCCCACTTACCTAAAGCGCCGTTTTGCATATTTGTATCCGATTGCCCGGCATGGGAAGAAGGACGCGGCGATGCTTGATTCTCTTCTGGTAGCGCTGCTAGATCTTTCGTATTTGAGATATCATTAGCAGTTTGATGGTCCTCCTGATCTAATTGCCGTTGTGCTTCATCTTCTGTTGCTGCTGCTGCTGAGAATTCTGCCACCTCGCTCACTTTGCTATTATGCGGAGAAGCACAGTCCGTCACTAATGCAAGGTGCTGCGATGCAGTGCCCGGTCGCTCTGGAGTCTGCGACGGCGACAGTGACAAACGTGTATGTCGGGAGCAGTACGTGGAGGAGTCGTCATCCATCACATTCATCTCGGAGGGATCCCGATGCCGCTCTATCGGACGAATTTCCTCACACGTACCTTCCAGTTCTAGCCAACACAGAAACTCCCAACGAGAGACCCCTCTAGATGGCGTCTTAGCCCGCTACTCGTTGTACTGAGTCCTTTCCCACCCCAAAATCTCAACTAAACAACATACAGAGGGGAAGAAAACACAAGAATGTTGTCAGACCTGTACACCACCATGGGCGTTGCCCCACCACAAAGCAGAGAGCGGCTTCGCCTCCCCTCCGGCATCGGACGATATGATACGAGAGCAGGGCTCAGACATGTGTGAGACGACTCCCACGAGAAATTCCCTCTGAAAACAAAAGAAAAAAAAAAGAAAACAGCAATCATCCAATACAGTGCCCAACCCCCTCACTACACTTCGAGGAGAGCAGAAAGTTTTTCGATAAGCTGCCGCTCTTTTGCTGCGGAGTCGTCATCTACGAGTTGTCGTAGCTCCCGTTGCACCTGGAGAAAGAGCTGGGTTGCTGAGACATCCTTTGTCCGTTGGAGTTGTTGCACCATGCATTTATTTTCATGCATGAACATCTGACGCGTTGAGTAGAGCAAACCCTCCGCATAGTTATCCAGGGCAACCTGTAGGCCAAGGATGTCTGACTTTTGTAGATGGTTCTCATTACGCTCTTGGTGCTTGAGAAGTTTAGCTGCAAGGTCCAAGTGAAACGGCACAATAAGCTCACTCGGCGAGTAGCCTTCTCCATCTTCCTGGAGTCTAGTCTCGGAGAAAGGAAGCTGCGAGATAGATGACCTAACTGCATCCTCGGGAATGACAGACCTTAGAGTCTTCCGCGTCACAGAAGGCGAGGTGAGCGCAAAACTGCCGGCGGGCAGAGAGTTTGTGGCCGACTCATACTTACCCAGTGGTTTCCTGGGTGGCGGTGACGCCTTGCTACGCATGCGGCCTTGTAAAGATGCGCGTCAACCGAGCAGAAAAGAAAAAAGCAAAACGAGATATATGGACCCTAGAATGTGCTCATCACACATATTGCGCAGAACATGTCAGTAGCCAAACAATATTAAAAAAAGGAAGGTAAGGAAACTCATGCTCCCACCTCCATAGCGACTCAGAGCATTACAATCTATCCATGAATTTACTTCGCTTTAATCGTACGGATTGAAAAATATCCCAAATCTCAGCTCTTATACTTCCGCTTCAACTTTTCTCGTTCCTTCTTACCAGGACGCCGGTACTTGCCTGGGTGATCTCCATCCATCTCATTGGTGTTCGGGGCATCTGAGGCTGGCACAGTCTTAGTCCTCTTTTTGGGGGGTTGCGTGTCGTCGTCACCATCAGTACCGTCTGCTACTGTCGTTGCCACGGGTGCCTCTCTTTGGTCTCCCCGAAGGTGTGGCTTGTTCTTCTTGTTCCTCCCCACGGTGGGCATGGATGCAGTGGGATCGACAGCATTTGCTGACAGTGCCTGAGGAGGTGCTTGCACATAATCATACGACACGCGCAGTGCATGGAAGAGGGCTGAATTCTGTGTGGAGGCACCGGCACGCGTCTTGTCGTGGCTTGATAGTACAGGAGCCATACGGCGTAGCTCGAAGCTGTACGACATCTTGACGTCTTTGGATCGGTTCGATGGCCCACCGCCTGCGGAAGTGGACGCCACATCCCCACCCATAACAGTTCCAGTAAAAGGAGAGACAAAGTGCTCACGCCGCGCAACGTTTTCCAACGTCGAGATGTGCGGGGCTACAGTACGCTGCCACGTCGCTATAAGACGAGAAAAAAGCGCCAATCTTGGTGCAGTGGGGGCATCGCCAGCCCCTGCACTTCTCTCGATGTAATCGTTGATGCAAGCCACGATACCTTTCCGAGAACTTGATGGCATCCTCTGGAGGAAAAGACTTTGCAATTGCACAGTATGTGACGTCCCAGCTCCCGAAGTCACAAGTGTATTGGCCACATCACATTGCAGCATCACATTACTTTCGTTCTGTTTACCAAGAGATTGTGCAGCCGTCACAGCTGCCTCAACGGCTGACATTCCTTTTGGAGCACTCGAAAGTACTCCCTCCGTCGCCAAACCAACCAATGGGAAGTACAACGTCTTTTTCCTTGACTGTCCCAGCACCCAGAGAAAGGCAGCAAGACTTGGCACTGCGACCTCCGTCTCCATCAGCGGCCGAGCGTCTAGAAACGTATCTTTCAGTGTGACGCCGGGATGAAGGTTACATGCGATTATGTATCGCATTGTAGTATAGACAGCCTGGGAGAGAAACAGCAAAGCCCGCTCTTTTTCCTCTTCAACGGGAGGGCGTGATTGTGTGTCTGCATAGTGTGTTGCCTCTAGAATACCGCGCAAAAACGAGCAGTCAACCACAACGGAGGCAATCCTATTTGACTGCTGCTCAGTACGTTCAACCGCGTCGTGGAGACAGAGCAGGCTACGCCCCATCTCCTTCTCGCGCCCAGGCTCAGCGGTGTTGTATTTCATTTGGCAGTACATCTTCCAACAGGACTGAATGTCCACCTTTGTCACCCCGCGAATAACAGGTGGAACATTACCACCGTTGCCCATGACGACGACAAAGAGAAATACTAGATCCACGCAGCTGTTCTGCAGAATCTCTGCTGTGGAGATGTGTTGTGCCGTGATGGTAGGCGGAGAGGTGGGAAGCGTCTGCACTGGTGCTTCCTCACCATCCTCTCCGTCGCTATCAGAATCGCTGAGCGCAACACAGGCACCGGTGGCCACCATAGGGCCGTCCTGCTTTTTGCGGCGAACCACATCCTCTTCCTCCTCTCCCTCCTCCACCGCCACCACATCCAGTTTTTCCTGTTCACTTTTTGATATTGGCGTGTTGGTATCGAGCGGCGGCCCCGTCGCTTCTTCATTCTCGCCGCTAAGCGCCTCCACACACACTGCGATGTATGCCAAGACGTGCGTCAAGCGCAAAACACACATCTCAAACATTGTGTCGTGGAGCTTTGTTGCAATCGACACGGTGTGCGGCGCTGGCCCACAGAGGGCCCCACAGAGCACGTCCGAGTCCTCAGAGATGAGGCAAAACGTCGGCACCTCTGCACCAGCGGCGAGTGCTTGAGTGACAAGCTGCCTCTGCATATCAAGTATCTTGTAGTCCGCCTCTCCAGCGACCTGCCGACCACTGATGAGGATTTGCAGCGATGCACCGCCTGGACGCTGCCTGTAGTGCCGTTCCAACTCACAACATAGCTGTTGGATAGCAACATCTGCGTCAATTACCGTTGTGTGAGTGCGGTGGCTCCGTGACGTTCCAGCGCGGTGCCGCTGCGCATCCATGGCAAAGATGATCGCTCGTCTCACCTGCAGCTGCGGTTGTTTCAGGAACTCCGCCAGTGTTTCGAGCCCGATGGTTTGATGGGCGTTTGTGGCATCAATAAGGACAAAGTCAAAGCACAGTGTCGCCACGCCACCACCTTTTGGGATTCGACACAGCGCAGCTGGCGATGCACGCGCGACAAACTTCAAGAAATCCGGAAGACCCATAAGTCCTTCACGCAAATCTTCCTACTCCCCGTGGCACAAACGGTATAGAGGGGGCGAAACACCACTGAACAAGTGTGCGACAAGAAACAGAGGTTGCTCCACAGGAGTATGAGGTCCCAAGTGAGAAAAAAAAGACGCTAAATGGTAAAAAAAAGGCTGTAATAGCCAATATATATATATATATATATATATATATGCACCCACCCCCACTTCCTCCCTCCCTTTTCGTCATCTCGCAGAGCCCCCCGCCCCCCTCTTCCCTTCAAAACAAACAACAGGCTTCCACCATTTCTATCCTCAATCCTCAACGGTGGCGTGTTCAACGTCCTCCAGCTCCTCACGCAGCTGCGCCATCTTGACATCATGTTCCCTCTTCAGACGCTCCAATGCGGCGGTGTCGCCCAGCTCAGTCAGATAGGCCTGCAACTCCTTCCAGAGCGTCAGCGTTTTCTCCGTCTGCTCCCGCGCGTCCCGTATATCCTCTGCAGCGTACACTGTCCCAATGCTCTCCCTCGACTCTGTGATGAGTTCACGAGACTCGGCAAAGGCCTCCATAAGCTCCAGCAATCTGGAAGAGACTTCCGGCGACTGCAAAGAGCTGCACATTCGCCGCGAAACAAAATTGGCGTCTAGAGCGATAGTTGGAAGGCTCACTCCCGCCGGTGTGTGGCGTACCACTCGAAGAGACGCCATCAGAGGGAGGTTTGCTGCGACGCAGCGAGAAGCCGAAGCGCTCGCCTGCGTACATACTGTATACGCGAGCTTCATTACATCAACAACTCCTACCCTTTGCACCAGAGAGAACACCACATAAGATATGTTGTAGCACGCACTCCAACGCACAACGAAGTAGACTGATGCAGAGGCAGCACACCAAGCCAGCGCTTCATATCCCCGTGGGCCCCTACCCAGACGCACATGTCAAAACAAAACAAAACAAAAAAAAAGGGCATGCATGGGCAAAGAGGGAAAAAAAAACACATTTAAAGAAAATCAGAGAAGATAATGGAGTCGTTGCGCACAAATGTAGGCACATATAAAGAGCAGAAAAGTCCTTGGAGTAACAGATGGGAACAGGGCACACTTCCCCACGAGTCGATACAGAGCAACACACCACGCTGCTCCAAAATGTGTCTCCCTCCCTCTCTCTCTCTCTCTCTCATGAGAGCAGAGAGAAAGAGAGAAAGGCGTGTGCGAAGAGACCCCACAAAAGACAGCACACCCAACCACAACGGCCTCAAGGATTAAGCGGACCAGCAACGTTCCACGTCTGTTCTCCTAAAAAAAAAAAAAGCTACACATTTAAAACAAAAAAAAAAGAACATTAAATAAAACGACCAACAACGGTTGTTCACTAAGCAAATGCCAAACGGAGCACGTTCCAACGTGAGGCCACCACTATGTACCAAACGCTTCTGCGTCAAGAAGAATCAGCTAGCCAATCTTCCGAGGCACACCAAAAAAAATATCTCATTATACATTTATATATATGCGTATGTGTATGTATGGGTGTACGCATTGCTCATTCACACCTCCACAAGCATTCAAATCGCAAGACCCCCATCTGCGCCTTTGCGCTAACTCAATATAAAAGCATGTCACGACCAAAACGTGATCATAAAGCATCTTTGTCCACACTCACATACATTAAATATACGGCTACATTAAACCCCCCGCCTCACACCAACAGCCAACCGGATATGACACACAAGCCACTCAGAGGTACATACCGGATTACATTTTTCTACACTTCTTGCGAATCCCACATCTCCTCAAAGCCCAGAAACACACACGAACAAAGCGTTGCAGACACGCACACAACGCAGTAAAGCTACTAGCATATACAGTTACAAAAGAAGCCCGTCCAACAGAGTTCTTCGATACATTTCATCACCACAAGCCCATATACTCACAACCAAAAAAAAAAAAA